CGTTTGTTCTGAAAGGTTCTGTTTGAACCAACCTTTAATAAAAATAGAGACGTCTGAGTTTGGGTTTATTTTTGGAATAACAGAAACATCCTAAACTAAGTAAACAACAACAACAACAACAACAACAACAACAACAACAACAACAACAACAACAACAACAACAAATAAATAAATAAAACAGGATTGTTTTTGTTTACTCATCATCAGAACATCAAGACAACCAACAATCAGAATCATCGGTTCAGATTCTAGACCAAGACACAGAACCAGATCTGGTTTTCTTGCTGGATCGGATCTGGGTCAAACCAGTGTCAGAAATGGTAGAAGTGGGCGGGACTTTGCTTGCAGGTGAACTCCGGTGAAGCGTGCAGCAGCCGGAAGTGACGTTCCTGACTTCCTGTGCACGTGAAGCTCTCCCCGCACACTGGGCACAGGTGGCACCGGGACGCGCTCAGGTTGAGCGGCGGTCCGTGCTGTGACGTCACGCGCTTCCTCAGATACGTTTTGCGCTTAAAACTTTTCCCGCGCTGACGGAAGCTGGACAGTCCGTCATCTGATCCAGACTCGGACGGTCCGGGACTGGATGAGTTCAGGTCCTGGCAGTCCTTTGGTTCCTCCGGTTCAGTCTTGCCGGACCTGGAGCCCTTGTCCCGGTCCTGGTTCTGAGGTCTGGGTCGGTGCCAGCGCCGGTGGGAGGCCAGGTTCGCGGGACAGCTGAAGACCTTGTCACAGTCGGGACACCGGTACTGGACCCGAACTATCCTGGAGCATCTGTGCTGGGCCAGAGAAAACGGGTCCGGGTAGGACTCTCTGCACAGCTGGCACACGAACCCGGCCCGGGGGCTCCGGTCCGGTTCTGGTTCTCCATCAACCGGAGCCGCTTTGATCTTCAGCCCCAGAACCGGGGACGTGGTGACGTCATCCTCAAAGTGCAGCCTCCTGCTGGTTTTGGTCCTCCTGGATGTGGGTCTGGATCTGAACTCCGGGTCTCCGGACGGTCGTTTAGACCCGGTGGTTCCGGTGGTTCTGGAGCTGAGTTTCAGGTTCACCGGGGCGAACAGGTGGTCCGGAGCGGGGAGCGGGATGGACTCTGCTGACTCTGTAGAGACCAAGTCCCGGGTTTGGTTCCGGCTCAGTGGTCGGATCGGACTGCAGGGAGCCTGGTAGACCCTTTCTGGGTTTCCGAACCGAATCGGCGTCCCATCCGGTTCCGGAGCGGCGGCTCTGCAGGGAGGGTTCGGAGCGCAAGCTGAGTTCTCTTCATCATCATCAGAACGGACCCGGTACCGGACCGGGCTGCTCCTCTTGTTCCGTTTCACCAGAAAACCTCTGGGCATGTTCGGGTTCGGTCCGATCTGGACTTCAGGCACATCTGCTCAAACTCACCAGGTACTGGACCGGTCCCGAACCGAGTTCAGAGTTTCTGCGCTGAACTGGTTTTAAAAACACTCGATAAGTCCCGCCCCCAAAGAGGTCCGACCAATCAGAACCGGACCGGACCAGAGGAGGAGGAGGAGGACGGTCAGAACAAAGATGGGTTAGAGTGTGGGAAAAG